TATTATTATTCTGACTGGGTGGTTCCCTGTTGTGCCCCCAGTGCCTGGCAAGATGCCTGAGTCACCACGGGGACTCGCTGTGTGGCCCACGCTGGTCTCGAACTCCTGGCCTCAAGCGATCCTCCCGTCTCGGCCTCCCAAAGTGCGGGGGTCACGGGCGTGAGCCACTGTGCCCGGCTAATGTAATATGTTACTAGTAAATATTTAATCGGTTAAATGCAATGACGCACTTCATTGGGATGATGAAATGTTCTAAAGCTGGTTGTGATAACGGTTGCACAGCTCTGCAAACACGCTAAAACCCATCGAATTGTACGCTTTAAATGCGTGCATTGCGTGGCTTGCAAACTACATCTCAATGAAGCTGGTATGTACTACATGTGTATACATAATGTAAAAAGACCTGGAGCTTAGTGGAACTAACATTAATGCTATTGTTGCTAGGAGACAGGCTCTGTCCTAAAAGCTTGTCCTGAATCATCTCCCTTCACCCTGGGAGGGAAAGTCCTGTTATTATTATTGTTATTATTCCCATTTCTCAGATAGGGAAGTTGAGGTACAGGGAAGTAGAGCCTCTCTTGCCCAAGGAGTAGGAGAACGAGGAATTGAACCCAAGCTACTTGCTTTCACTTCTACCATGAACTTGGATGGGGAAAAAAAAATGACTCCTGGAGTTTTCACTGAAATTCAGGGTTTCTTTCCTTCAACCACGAATGTGAGCGACAAAGCACAGCGGCATCAGCAGGACCTGTGTCACCGTCACCCAGAGGAATCACTGATGTGCTCCTCGCACGGCCGTCGTTGCAGCGATTTCCAGTGACTGTGGACACCGTCGCGATCAGACCCGCAGCCAGCTCTTCCTAAGCAACGCGTTGATACGGCAGCCCCATCACTGGTCACAAATTTGGGTTTTTTTTTAATACACTGATAACTGTATTTCGGTGTAGTTGGTTCCCTTTGTAATCCCGTGGGTTTTATTTTACGCTGCATTTAAAGACATCGTTCTAGGAAGGGGTGTAGGGAGTGAAAAAGCCCCTTCTCAACACTACCCTGCATCATTACGTGCAATTTGAGCCCCAAATAACCAGGCTGCTGTCGCGTCTCCTGTGTCTCTGCTGTCTGAATCAGGGAGTCCCTAAGATCTGTCCTGGGTTGTCGCCAACCTTCCTGATGCCCTTGTAGCCACTGGGCCCCCTCCCCAAGGTACGGTCTCATTTTTTTTTTTCTAGCTCCCTCCTTCCTCATCTGCCAAATCTGAATGGAGAAATCGTGATACGTGCGCCGACACGGGTGAACCTGGAGGACGTCATGCCACGTGCAATAAGCCTGTCACAAGAGGACAGACCCAGTATGATTCCCGCTCACATGGAGGTCCCCAGAGTGGTCAGATTCAGAGAGACAGAGAGTAGGATGGTGGTTGCCAGAGGCTGGCGGAGGGGAGAAGGGAGAGTTAGTGTTAAATGGGCATAGAATTTCTGTTTGGGATCATGAGAAAGTTCTGGAAATGGATAGTGATGATGGTTGCCCAACCCTGGGACTTAATATCGCTGAACTGTATACTCAAAAATGGCTAAAA